ACCGATACTTACGACCGAGCTTACGATTTCCACATCTATGAACATGGTCGTACGCCTCAGTCGCAGTTTAAACCATTTGTGGTCGTATGACCGTATAAACAGTAACCATACAGTCGAAAGTACATTTCAGTGTCACGTGATTTTCCGCGCACCTGTCAATGTAAACACGACTGCATTTTAAACGAAAGACGGAGTATGCCTCGTCGAAGTAGCTACAGAAAAAAATGTTTAATAATGGCAAACCGTTAGGGATGAGTAAAAATGACATTTACATATGTTTATGATGTTTCCTTATTAACTCAATTAAGTACACACGATAAGTATTTTTCTGTAAGAATGCGATTTCTTTTTCAATTTACATTGTATATCGATCTATATTTTATAATAAAACAGTTAATCATTGATAAAACAAATAGATACTTATTATTAATAAATAAGTCCTCCTTTTTGATGCATCTCTATATTTTGATTGGCAAATAATTTGTCAAATTATTTAAACGCTGTCCGCGTGATAAGTTAACAATTGCTTATCAAAGTGTTAGCGTCATTCTGATCATCCTTAAAAACGACTAAGGATACCATTAAATATCACTAATGACTATGTAATTATATCCCTTACACCCGTGTTTTTACAATACACAGATCGGTAACAGTATTCTAAATAAAAGTCAAAGTATGTGATAGTATACTTCATTATGATTGCCAACCGTATTGTATCTTGTCCTAACTGTGTGAGTAAAGAAAAGGCATTCCAAATACCAATACTAGTATTTTAAGATTTTTTTTACTTTGAACAAAGCGCTGTTGATGTTTGAATACAGAGACGCCCACACACCTGTGTTTTCATGACATTTAATAAGTTACAGGTGGCACAGTTTGAATTAAAAAATGTTTGTACAGGGCTCTTAGGTAAAATGCAAAACAACATCTGCAAACATAAGAAGTTAAATAATAGCTTTTCTTAGCTGAAAACAATTTGGCTGGCTTATTTGTGAATGTATTTACAGAACAGTAAGTTTTAGAATATTTCAAAGTCATTATTATTATTCCAGTATGACAATTATAAATAATACATGTTCAGAATTATTGTACATTATCTAGAAAATATCTTGAAACTAGATAAGAATATAAGAACAATATGTTTTAACAGTCAAAGGGCACTATTCAGACTAGAGCAGTTATAACATAATAAAATTATTAAGATGACTATAAATTCAGCACATTAAAGATGTATCTAAGATAGTAGTTTACCTACTTTAAATGACTGATATAAAATATTAAGTAATTTTAAACAATCAAACTTACAACATTGAAGTTTTAATGTGATAATTATATTTTAGAAAAGTATACTGTACATAAATGATTATCATTTATATCATATGAATTTATTAGGGAAAAGCAATATCTCTATTTTAATTTGGTCTATATTTATCATATAACAAGAAACGTGTTAAGTTAATGAATATTTTAATCACCATTGATTACATTTCACATGTTCCACCTTCATTTGTGTAAAATGAAGGCTAAGCTACCAACTTCACAAAAATGATAAAATAAAAAATCTCTCAAAGTGAGTTTTTTCTTTTTATATACATGTACCTTTAAATACAAATGTATCAAGAATAGTCTTAAAAACTTCATAATGTCCCGTTTTTATCATATTAAGGACATTTCTACAACTATACTTTCCGACTGCCAGGTCACTATAGAAAAAAAAAACTTTTTAAATGTGATTTTATGTAACTTTAAAATGATATGATATGTCTTGAAAAGTAAATTAAGAGTCGTTTTTCCAAACTTTTTCAACATAAAAATATTAGGACGCTTGGCCGCAAGGTCGCCAACTTCACAAAAATGATAAAACAAAAAAAAAAACTCTCAAAGTGATGTTTTCTTTTTATATATCCTTTAAATAACAAGAATTGTCTTTAGAACTTCATTAAATCCCGTTTCATTGTTTATATAACATTTCTACAACATTAAAATTTTAGGCCGCTGGGCCAGGCAGTAAAATGACAGAATAAAAAAATTGTCAAAGTGATTTCTTCTTCTTCTTCTTATATACCTTTTAAATATCAAGAAAAGTTTTAAGAGTTTCAATAAGTGCCGTTTTTATTGTTTTTATAAATCTCTACGACAGTAAAATTTCCGGCTCCCAGGCCCCTGGAAAACAATTTTTTTTATAAATATGACTTTTCTCTTATGTAACTTTTCGATGATAAGATATGTCTTGAAAACTTAATTTAGAGTCGTTTTAATTTCTTTGACATTGAAAATTTTAGGCTGTTAGGCCGCCGGGCCGCAAGGCTGCCAACTTCACAAAAAAGATTAAAAAACAAATTTTCGCAAAGTGATTTCTTCTTTTTATATATCCTCAAAATTTTCTTAAATAACAAGGATTATCTTTAGTACATCTTTAATTCTCGTTTTTTGTTTGTTTTATAACGTAACTATAAATTAAAAATTTAGGCCGTTAGGTCGCCAGGCCGCGGGCCGCTGAGCCGCCAGGTTTCCAACTTCACGCCGCCAGGCCGCTGGGCCGCAAGGCTGCCAACTTCACTCTGCCAGGCCGCTGGGCCGCTAGGTCACCAACTTCACACATCTGATAACATCTATGATTGTTTTAAAGTATTTTTCATAGAATTTGTTCAAATGAAATCTGTCCCATTTAGTTTTCATTAAATAGCACCCGCCAACATTAATAAGTTATAGTTAAAGTATATGAATGGAGTAAGTCACGGGGATATAACAGTAAATGGGCGACATTTCGGGATGTTTCTGCAAAAAATGTTGAGGTTTTCAGGCTGAGGCAATTTTTTTGCAGAAACATCCCGAGATATCGCCCAAACCACTGTTATTCCCCCGTAACTGACAAGTTTCATATATTATAACTGTTTTATAGCAATTTCATCATTTTTATATAAATCAGTAAGAAAAATATTATGTGCATTTCCCTTTCTTGTGCCCCTTTCACTTTTGTTTCAAATGGAAACCCCAGTTTAAATGAACCAATACCAGCTAATGCTTTCTACAGGACCTCACAGCTAGCTATATATAATAAGTCAGTGAGCGCAGCCGTTTAACATTTTACCCCATGAGCATATTGCAAAAAATGGCCGTTTTCATTGAAAAGCCTCCTGTTACAAGTTCAAACTGCTATGAAACTATGAAACATGCATCAATACTAATGAAACTTGGCACAAATGTTGACTGAACCATAGCCTATGTAACAGCATGCTCAATCGTAAATTTCCTATTACCATTGCAACGGGGGTACGTCTCAAAATTGCGAAAAAATCACTATTTTGCATTGTTTTTTTTTCATCAAAACTGATTTCAAAGTGTTGCAACTTCTCAATGAATTGAGATAGAGTAAAGGGCTTTTTAGCGTCGGTTACTAGTTACCTTAAGATCGACCTGAGGCCATTTTTAGCCTGTCATATGTCCGAAATTTTCTTAACGATGAGGGGGACTACCGCCCCTCATCAAACCCCCCAAACAGAAGGGGGCACATCCCTCTTCTGGCAACCCCCTGATGTACCATTTTGATGGGGGCGGCGCCGAAAAAGTGGTCACTTTTTTTAACAATATTTCTCAAACGAAAAACAGTGTTTGGGGCCTAAATAGGGCATTTTTCACTCGATCAATATGATCTGACCTTGATTTTTCTTATCATGAATATTCATCTTTGCAAGGCATAGATTATGTTAAAGACATAATTAAGCAAACTGTTTTATAAGGGAAAAAATTACAAAGTTAGTGAAAAAATTTATTGAATGTATAGGTTTATTTCAAGTTTGTATATGTGGAACAGAACATGCATTTTGATTATTATAAGGAAACTATATTGATATGTATATATTCGATATGTACGTTAGCATGTCTGAGCACGGTCCGTTGTTCAATATTCCGAGGAATAGTCTGAGGAGGATTTTTTGTGTTTCCTCCGTGCATGCCCACGGATTCTACGGTTCCTCTTACATTTAAAAAAGATAAAAAGGAGTTTTACGCAGGCGGCCAGTATTCATGTGACGAATATACGATCGAACCTGTTGAGTTTTGTTTAATTTACATTTTATCATGAAATGTCTTGGACATAGTACAACAGTTTTGATTGTGATATGCTTTATACATATGTATTTCTCATTGTGATATTTCCTCCTGTTATAACGATCTCGTAATAATATAACCTCGCTACAATGCACAGCATAGTTGTTTGTTTATTGCAAGTTAGAGTAAGACCAATTGAATTGAGTTTTTTCCTATATGAATCAAGTGAAAAAAAAACTGTACTGCTTTATATCAATACAGTTTTCAAATCCTAAATGGAAGAGTACAGAGTATAATTAGTCAGAAAGAACAAAGAAAAAGCTCAAATCCATGCGACCACAATACTTAATTTAATCGAATGCTTTGACCTTAGTTATAGTTTCTATGTGAAACCAGTAGTATCAGATATATGACTATACAACTTAACAAATTGAATAAGAGTTACACTATTTAACTATTTATATTGTAGACACTCTAAGCTCTGTTTATTTTTTGTATTTGAACTGTTATCTTTATAACAAAAGATAATGAGGAAGTATTCATGTTTTATCATTATTTATGTCACCATCGATTATTGTTTTACCAAACTTCAACAAAACGGGCGTAAGTGTCATCCCAAACTACAATAAATGAAATTAAATTTAGTTTTGAAGTATTTTCTATTAGATCTTTATTCTAAATTGATCACATAAAATGATTATTGAATCACTTTATCTTAATAGATAACTGCAATTGTTACTTATTATAAAATGAATTAGAATAATAGGGTCTAAATCTAAATAATTTTACAGAAACACAATCCAAAACAATTTCATTTAAAATATCGAGATAACTAACATAAATTGTCTATATTATTATGATTACCATTCTTAGCATAACAACATGTATAAGATTATGTTTAGAGCAATTGTTTGATTTCTAAAATAACTTGTACGTTTCATCTTTAATAGGTGTGGATATAACACAGATGTAACACATCAAGAAGTAAACGAAATGGCAACCGGAGGTCAACCTCAGACGCCAGACAACCGTATATTTTTGTTTCGGTTACAAATACTCGTCATTGATGGTGGCCTCCTGATATTGAGAAATATACTAGACCAGTCCCTGACATCTCAATGCATAACGTTCAGTGCGTGCTTGAATCAAGAAAAGTCAACAATAACACGTTTGAAAAGCCGCGGCGTTATAACCCAGGTCCAATATGACATGTTGTTTCCAGCAGGTGGTAAAGTACAAACTTCGTCAGATTTGGACATCACGCTTATCATTTGTCTTCTTAGAAACTTGAAATGTTTCGGATTAAATAGAAAATTTGACTGGAATGCAACACCAGCACCAACCGATGTAACAATGGAGGCAGACATATGTCGCTTAAAGGATTTCCGAAATAAAGTAAGTGTGTTATGAAAACGTCAATTCGAAAGGCTTGGCAATACAAAAGAATAAAAGTAAATCTTTCATACATTAACAATATAAATGTCTACGTATTTTAAAAGTATTGAATTTCTTCAAAAGTTTAACTTAAAAATAATTTAATCAATCATCATGCGTAAGCACACTTTATTATAAAAGTTCAACTTTTAATATTGTCTAGACAAGAACTTATTTGGTGTGATGCATAGTCACGATAGCTGTGCAGTCGTACTGAAAAGGTTATATTAGCATGAACATCTTAAACATGAACATTTTTATTTTTTTTATTCGACATTTCCGATGCATTTGTTTCGAGCTATCATTACTGTCATGAATAATTCCGGGATTTTATTTATGTCAACAGCATTATCCAAGGTTATATTGCAATAATCAAATAGGCTCAGATATTACTACCATCATAAAAATAACCAACTGATAAAACTGAGATGATGAAACAATCCTAGATTAACCTGACGTCAAGAAACAATCCGAGATAAAACTGCAATTATAAATCCAAGAAAATAATGCGGCCATTAAAGAATCCAAGATAATACTGACGCCAATAAATAATCCAAAATATTACTGCCGTCATGAAACAATTCGAGCTCATAATGCTATTAAGAGACAATCGGAGATAAAAAAGACGTCAATAAAATAATCCGAGACATTACTGCAGTCATGAAACAATCTGAGATAATACTGCTATCAAGAAACAATCCGAAATAATACCGCTGTCAAGAAACAATCCGATATAATACTGCTATCAAGAAGCAATCCGAGATACTAGTAGTACTGCAGTCAGAGAAATAATCCGAGAAAATACTGAAACAATGAAAATGAATCAAAGCTAATAATGCCGTAATGAAAGAATCAGAGATAACACTGCCACTATGAAAGAATCTGATATAAAACTGCTGCTATGGAACAATCCGAGATAGTATTCCCTTATGAAACAGTCCGAGGTATTACTGCTGTCATAAAACCATACTAGGTAATACTGCCGTCAAGAAAACAATCCGAGAATATACTGCCGTCATGAAATAATCAGAGCTAAAAATGCTGTCATGAAAGAATCCTAGGTAATACTGCCGTCTAGAAAACCATCCGAGATAATACTGCCGTCATAAAACAAGTAATATAAAACTGCTGCAATGAAAAAATCCGACAAAAACTGCCGTCATGAAACAATCAGAGATAAAATTGCCGCCAAGTAACTCAGAGATTATACTGCCGTCTTAAAACAAGTAGGGATAAAACTGCCGCAATGAAAAATCTGACAAAATACTGCCGCCATAAGACAATCCTAAAAAATGCTGCCAAATACCAATCCGAGATAATACTGCATTCATAAAACGATCCGAGATAATACTGCCGCCATGAAACAATCCAATGTAATACTGACGTAATGAAACAATAAAAGATAAAACTGCAATCATGAAACAAAAAGAGATAATACTGCTGCCGATAAACAATCCGAAATATTACTGCCGTCATGAAACAATTAGAGAAAATATTGCCGTCATTAAACAATCCGAGATAATACTGCCGTAATGAACCAATCCGAGAATATACTGCCGTCATGAAATAATCAGAGCTGAAAATGCTTTCATGAAACAATCCTAGATAATACTGCCGTCTAGAAAACAATCCGAGATAAAACTGCCGTCATAAAACAAATAATATAAAACTGGCGCAATGAAAAAATCCGACAAAAACTGCCGTCATGAATCAATCAGAGATAAAACTGCCGCCAAGTAACACAGAGATTATACTGCCGTCTTAAAAGAAATAAGGATTAAACTGCCGCAATGAAAAAATATGACAAAATACTGCCGCCATAAGACAATCCGACTAAAAACTGCTGCCGAATACCAATCCGAGATAATACTGCAATCATACAACAATCCGAGATAATACTGCCGTCATGAAACAATCCAAGATAATACTAGCGTAATGAAACAATAAAAAATAAAACTGCCGTCATGAAACAATTAGAGATAAAACTGCAGCCAAGAAACAATCCGAGATAATACAGTCGTCATCAAACAAATAGAGACAATACTGCAGCCAATAAACAATCTGAAACATTACAGCCGTCATGAAAGAATTCGAGAAAATATTGCCGTCATGAAACAATTTGAGATAATACTGCCGTAATGAAACGATAAAAGATAATACTGCCACCAATAAACAATTTGAGATAATACTGCCGTGATACAAAAACCATGGATGATACTGCCGCCAAATAACAATCCGAGATAAAATTGCAGCCATAAAACAATCAGAGATAACAATGCCTCCAATAAACAATCCAAGATACATCTGCCGTCATGAAACAATCCGAGATAATAATACAGTCATAAAACAGTCAGAGATTATCCCCCGGCCAATAACAATTCGAGATAATACTACAGTCATAAAACAATCAGAGATAATACTGCCGCCAAGCAAAAAATCCGAGATAATACAGCAGTCATTAAACAACTATAGATAAAACTGCTCTCATTAAACAATCAGAGATGATACTACAGCCGAATAACAATCCGAGTTAATACTACAGTCAAGAAACAATCCGAGATAAAACTGAAGTCATACAACAAATAAAGATAATACTGCCGTCATGTTACAATTTGAGATAATACTGCAGCCAAACAATAATCCAAGATAATAATGTCGTCATAGAACAAATAGATATTACTGCCGCCAAGAAACAATCCGAGAAAATATTGCGGTCATGAGACAATAAAAGATAAAACTGCCGCCCTGAAATAATCCGACATGATACTGTTACCAAGGACAATTAGAGATAATACTGCCGTTCTAAAACAACAATAGATGATGCTCCCGCCAAATCACAATCCGAGATAATACTGCAGTCATAAGACAATCAGAGATAACACTGCCTTCAAGAAACAATCCGAGTTAATACTGCCTTCATGATAAAATAAGGGATGACACTGCCTCAAAGAAACAATACGAGATAAATTTGCCGTCATGAAACATTCCGAGATAATGCTGCAGTCATAAAACAGTCAGATATTATCCCCCGGCCAAATAACAATCCTAGATAATAATGCAGTCATAAAAAAATCAGAGATAATACTGCCACCAAGAAACAATCCGAGATAATACTGCATTTATAAAACAATCCGAGATAAAACTGCTGTCATGAAACAATGCAAGAAAATACTGACGTAATAAAACAATAAAGATAAAACTGCCGTCATGAAACAATTAGAGATAAAATTGCAGCCAAGAAACAATCCGATATAAACCTGTCGTAATCAACAAATAGAGATAATACTGCCGCCAAGAAACAATCCGAAATATTAATGCCGTCATGAAACAATCAGAGAAAATAATGCCGTCACGAAACAATCCGAGATAATACTGCCTGAATGAAACAATGAAAGATAAGACTGACACCATGAAATAATCTGACATAATACTGCCACCAATAAACAATACGAGATAAAACTGCCGTCATACAAAAACCATAGATAATACTGCCACAAATAACAATCCGAGAAAATATTGCCGTCATAAAACAAGAAGAGATAACAATGCCTCCAAGAAACAATCCGACATACATCTTCCGTCATGAAAAAATCTGAGATAATAGTATAGTCACAAAACAGTCAGAGATAATCCTCCGGCCAAATAACAATCCGAGATAATACTACAATCAAGAAACAATCCGAGATAAAACTGAAGTCATACAACAAATAGAGATAATACTGCCATCATAATACAACCTGAGATAAAACTGTAGCCAACAAACAATACGAGATAATACTGCCATCATGAAACAATAAAAGATAATACTGCCGTAATGAAACAATAAATGGTAAAACTGCCGTCACGAAACAATAAGAGATAATACTGCAGCCAAAAAATAATCCGATAAAATATTGCATCATGAAACTGCCGCCATGAAATAATCCAACATTATACTGCCACGAAGGACAATCCGAGATAATACTGCCGTCATAGAACAACCATAGATGATGCTGCCGCGAAAAAAAATCAAGATAATACTGCAGTCATAAAACAATCAGAGATAACACTGCCTCCAAGAAACAATCCGAGCTAAATATGCCGTAATGAAACAATCCGAGATAAAACTGCAGTCATAAAACAGTCAGAGAAAATACTGCCCCCAAGAAAAAATCTAAGATAATACTGCCGTCATGATACAATCAGACATAACACTGCCTCAAAGAAACAATCCGAGATAAATTTGCCGTCATGAAACAATCCGAGATAATACTGCAGTCATAAAACAGTCAGAGATTATCCCCCGACCAATATCAATCCTAGATAATAATGCAGTCATAACACAATCAGAGATAAAACTGCTGCCAAGAAACAATCCGAGATAATACTGCAGTCATTAAACAAATATAGAATGATAAAACTGCTCTCATGAAAAATTCAGAGATAATACTGTAGCCAAATAACAATCCGAGATAATACTGCAGTCAAGAAACTATCCGAGATAAAACTGCAGTCATGAAACAATCCGGGATATTACTTCAGGCATGAAATAATCTGAGATGTTACTGCAGTTATGAAAGAATCTGAGATATTACTGCCGTCAGTTATGAATTCGAGATATTACTGCAGTCAAGAAACAATCCGAAATAATACTGCGTCAAGAAACAATCAGAGATGATACCATCGTCAAGAAACAATCAAAGATAGTACTATACTGCCCACTTGAAACAATCCAAGATAATACTGCAGTCATGAAACAATCCGAGATAATACTGCCGTCATGAAATAATCCGAAATAATAATGCCGCTATAAAACGTTCCGATATAATACCGCGTCATGAAACAATCAGAGATAATAACATCGTCAAGAAACAATCCAAAATAGGACTGCCGACATGAAACAATCCGAGATAATACTGCAGTCATGAAACAATGCGAGATAATACTGCAGTCATTAAATAATTAGAGATAATACTGCAGTCATGAAATAATCCGAGATAATACTGCCGTCATGAAATAATCCGGAATATTACTGCAGTTTTGAAACAAGCCGAGCTTTCCTTTTCGTCATGTGACTATCCAAGCTTTTCCTGCCGCCCTGAAACATCCGAGCTAACTATCCGAGCTTTGATTGTCGTCATGAAATAATTCGTAGTAATGCTGCAGCCTTGAGACAATCCGAGATGTTATGTCAGTCATGATTTGGTTCCTAGTGCAATTGACGTTTAAGACCGCAAATTTTAACATTTCTTTTTAATTAATGAATTGATTGTCTTCATGCTTGAACACAATATATAGATATTTTGACAAAATCTTAGAACATACCATATTTAACTTGAACTTGTCTCATAAATTACATTGACCTTCAAGAACATAGTTTTGCATAACTTTGTAGTGATTTTCCTTTTGTACTTTTTCCATAGAATGTTTTACATTGTTACAGTTTACTTAGTATGGGCTTTTAAACTTCGTTTATATCTTATTCACAAGAAGTGCGTTGTGATGTTCTCTACATATCATATTCTTTGAGTGTTATTCCCTGCATTTTGTCGAAAACAAAACCTGTTTAACAAAATACACGTAAAACAATTCTTTTGGATAGTTTACACTCTAACGTACTGTGGACGTAAAAGGGGTATATAACAAATTATTACTTTCATCAATGCCTGCCGTGACAATAGGGTATGTGTTGTTGTTGTTTATTTTGTTTTGGAATGTGGGGGGGTGTGGTCTTTAGACGGGAAGGAGTGAAGGCTGCTTTTGTTACCTAAGATTTTGGTAATTTTAGTTCTTATTTCAGCTAAATCATATTGGGTTTTTATTTCAGATAAGTCATATATCAACAACGACTGCAATACAACAAAATGATTTTACAGCTTGGTGGACTGATATTGAACAGGTGAGCACATTTCGCTTTCATAGTATTATTATTATCATCTTTGAAACCTTTCAATCCATTTTTAAATGAACAAGGAGTATTATATTCTGTAAGTAATGTCTTCTCTGTTAACATGTCAGTGGATGAATTTAATGCATATATAAAGATGCTTTGCACTGCGTCGAAATAAGCGAAAAATTTCATACGAACCAATATCACTGTATTGAAATAATTTAAAGCACTGCTCGCTGATGTATTTAGACGTGTGACGGGACTGAAAATGGTTTTCGTTTTTGTTCCAGTTCCATTTGATGTAGGTCTCCGTTGCTTCCAGAACAATTATTTTAACTATGAACAGTGACTAAATATGGAAAAAGCAACGGTTTTCAATAATATCGGGCTAATACAATTTTGAGTTCGCCTCAGAGATAATTACTTATTTCGTTATCCATTAAACAGCCAAATTTGATCTATGTAAGAAATTAAATTCTATGTTATAAACTTTACGTTCTCAGTAGAGTTTCTTTAATTGTAAAATAATTTTGGAAATTTTGGAAATCTCCAAATCTGATTTAGAGTTATCTCTGCGAAAGCTTTGTGTATTTAGATAAAAAAAAAAACATTTACTCTTTTCAAGAATCAGTCCTTTACGTTCGTCACGATTTTCAGGTGTCAATAACGTTTTTCCAGTAATTTCATTTCGTTTTAATTTACAAGGATCAGTAATTCCAGTCCTTCAAAATTTTTAAGTACAAATTATTTTAGTGTAGTCCAAGAAATCCGTGCATAAAATAGGGTTATTGTGCAGCTATTGTGAAAAGCATGTAACTTGGCACACTTGTTGGTTGATACAATTCTTTGAATTTAAGCCTTGTATCTGGGTTGTGCGAATACAATATGGCCGCGAAACTCCGAGATGGCCGCCATATATTAAAATTTTCAGAATAGTTTAGTATATCAGCTTAAGTCATAAGTGGAACAGTATGAAATAGGCCCAATTCATTAAATTACACAGTGATGCATATTCAAGCCTCGGATCCAGGTTGTGCAAATCCAAGATGGCTGCCAAAATCCAAGATGGCCCCCCCCCCATATATGAACATTTTCAGAATAGTTTAGTATTTCAGCTTGAGTTAGTACTAGAACAGTATGAAACATCACCAATGCGTTAAATACACATTAATTTATGTTAAAACCTCTGATCCAGGTTATGCAAATCCAAGCTGGCCGTCATATATTAAAATTTTCAGAATATTAAAGTTTTTAAGCTGTTAAGTCATGACAGGTCAGTTTGAAATAGAATCACTTTACTTTTTTACACATTTATTTCAATTCAAGCCTCGAATCTAAGTTGTGCAAATCCAAGATGGCTCTAAAAATCCAAGATGGGCACCATAATAAAATTTTCAGAATGTTTTTTTTTTCTCTCAGCTCTTGTCAATTATATAGCAGTATAAAATAGCAACGAATTATAATTATTCTATTAATTATTTATTTATATTCAAGCCTCGGATCTAGGTTTTGCAAATCCAACATGGCCGTCAAAATCCAAGATGGCCGACATATTCAATTTTTTTATTTTTTTTTATTTTTAGTTTTTCAGCTATAATCATTTTCAGATTAGTATAAAATAGCAAAAAATCATTATATTACATGCTTGTTAAACATATCAGCATGAGGATAATCTGTTAGCAATATCAACATGGCTGCCAAAGTTAAATATGACTGCAAAACCTTATATAATTATGAAACTGTTTTAAAACGTCCGTTTCATTTTTCATATTGAAACATGCTCATAATTGAACTGTCTCAGATTTATTTTTAAAAACTATTTTTACTTGATTTTAGAACACAATTAAAGAAATAAAGAATACTTGTGGTTAAACCATTTCATAATTTATTACCTGCCCTTGAATAAGAATAGCTTTGCTAGTTTAGGTAATTTCTGGGATCAAACTAAGGAGTGTCTTATTCCATGGTTTAATATGTAGCTATTTCAATGATTAGATATGTAGCTGACCACCTATTGGGTCCTTATGCAGAAAATAAAGGAATGGTATAGAACATTTTGTATATCTATACCAACAGCTTTGCATTTTTTGCTTAAAAGAAAGCACTTAATAATGATTTTAGAGAATTCAAAGCTATGACATTTGAATTTAACCCAAAAGTTTTTGTACAAGTTTATGTTCTGAGTCAAAAGTGACAAGTTCTTAGAAAATTGTTTTCGGATACCACATGTACTAGGAGAGTAAATTGCAGAAAATGTTAGAAATATTGATACACATGTATATTGATATTTAAACATTAACATCGGGTCGTTTTTATACAAAATTAAGCAAGGTACTGTTTTAAAGTGTTATCAACAAACACTGATCAGTAAAAACAAGTAAAATTAAATAAATATCCATAATTAACACCCATTGATCTAGTACAGAATCATGGTCCAGTAAAGGTCAATTAATTAAGTTTTATTATTATGATTCTAAAAGGTGTTTACAGTAACTATCACAAAAGAAATAAAAGAAAGGAAAAATAGAAATAAAAAAAAGTTAAACAAATGAAGGGCTTCATTAATTCCCAACAACCAATAAAAAAAACTCATTAGTTAAGCTAAGTAAAGTATGCATGATTTCACAAGTTCTTATGTACTGTACTTTTATCACAGTTGTGGAAAGAAGAAAACAAACATATTTAATCATTTAATCTAAGTAAATTACAACAGTTATAATTTGCTAAAGCTTTTTAAAACGTTTTTGAAATAAAGAAAATAAATAAACAAAAAATAAAAAGCAACAATTTGTAATATCAAGAAAGACACATGTGTATGAAAGGTTTTATCTGGTTTTTCAACTGCAATAAAGCATAAAATGGCGAAATGTAAGCAGTGTGACATAGTTTTTGACCCCAGGTGACCCATATCTAAACTTGACCTTGAAATCACCAAAACAAACTTTTATACCAATTTCCAGGATTCTATTTTATCGAAACAGTAGCCACAAGAGTATTAACAAGATTTTTTCTATTTTAGCTCCTGTGGCCTAGTTTTTCATTCAAGATGACCCATGTTCGATCTCATCTAAGCAATTACCTAGACAAGCATCTTGACAAAGTTTGATGACAATTGAGTCAAAAAATGTGACAACTACAGTGTTTACATGTTTTTTTCCATACTTGGGTGGTGTGACCTTGTTTTTCTATTTTCAGCTCATGTGACCTAGTTTTTCATCCGAGATGATCAATGTTCAAACTCATTCAAGTAATTACCTAGGCAAGCATCCTGACAAAGTTTGATGATGATTGAGTCAAAAATGTGACCACTATAGTGTTAACATTTTTTTCTATTTTTAGCTATTGTGACCTTGTTTTTCATCCGAGACAAGATCCTGACAAAGTTTGATGATGATTGAGGCAAAATGTGACCGTTAAGGGTGTTTACGAACAAGTGTGGACCGACGACGGACCAAAGTCGACGGACATTCAGTTGAGCTAAAAATCAAAGATATTCTTTTTGTTGATTTCTCTGATTTACGAATTCACAAGACCTTGCCAAAATGATGACATAACTAGAGTCTGATTCCGTTACCTATGACACAAAATGTGTTGCTTAAATCACTCATGAAAAACGTACTTGCAGCTGCAGTAAGACGATCACAAAAATGCTACAAACTAAATTTATTTAAAAATAATTTGAGAGACAGGGTTTCAAAGAACCCCCTTACCACTCAAACACTAATTAATATACTACTAATTTATATAATAGTAATCCATACTGAACATTTGGTCCGGATAAGCTTAAGAATTATGTGCACCTAAATATACAATCCAATAGAGGATTAAGTCACCCTTTTCGTGCATTAACAGACCTTATTCTACGGGCTCAGGATTTACTTCTACAGATGTTGATGCCCAAAAACGTGTAAGAGTCATTCGTGTATGAAAGGATACCACTGAGTTGGTAATTCTACAATATGTTGTTTTCCATATAAAGAAACTTGTTTTGTATTGATTTTAACTTGCTTATATGTTATGTTTTGATAATATGGTAGCTGGGGTCATCATTGAAATCAGCGGTTTTGCATGTTGTCATAATCACGCACATTAACAAGAGCTTTCAGTATGACATCATAGATTGCTTGACTGTTCTCAGCGCTTGAGAGCTAAACAAGAACCTAGATAACGAATAATTCTCTATATAATTCTGTCAAAATCCATGATAGAGTTATTGGCCTTTAACAGTGACCAATTATGTTCACAAAAAGTGTATAAGGTCTTAACCTATTCCATTATGTAATTTTTAATGCAAAACCTTAGCTAAACTATAAAGCTGACGCCTTTTGTGTACAATATCGCTACCTATTCTTCGTATTAAGCTAATAAAAGCGTTCCCATTGTTATCCATAAATGCAAGTTTTTTCTCTGTGAATGAACACCTGTGTTTGCAGTTTTATGCAGCAATCCCAGTTTATTAGTCTCTTATATGGATGAAAAGTGTTGATCATAAAAAAAATCTTTGTTTTATAGAAATTTGTCCAAAAATCATAATTTAATGAAGGCCATCTTGGATTTTGAATTATTTTGAATTTTCGTCTGCTGCTTCTAAAGCATTTTTCAAAGAACTTACTTTTATTGATCTACAATGTCAATTTAAATCATGTAAATTACTCATGCCATAAATAACTACATTTTGCCATGTCCAATGTACATTGTACATTTTGACGGCCATCTTGGATTTTTGAAAATTGGATCCCGGGCTGAAATAAATTTTTATACTATTTCCTGCAATCATGCCACGTTTCATGCTTTTCACAGAAGGTGCACAATTATTTATTGGACTAGTGCGTTACACTTTCAGGTGACCAGTTATATCAAGTATCAAATTTTAAAGTATCAGTAATTCCAATGTATCGCCATTTTCAAGTTTCGGAAAATTTCAGTGCTTTATAGTGTTTTACAATTTCAGGTTTCAAGTTCATTCAGTGCTTCCCAATTTTCAGGATTCCCGTAATTTCGAAAATTCACGATTTAAGGGTTTCCAATATCTCAAATGCGTCACAGTTTTCAGGTTTTCCAATATTTTGAGTTCTTCAATTTTTTTGGGGTTTTAAAGTTTTTTTCAAGGGCTGCTAAAATTTATGTTTTAGTAATTCCCCAATGCTTTCTTTTTTTAAATTTTTCCATTTCCCATTCAATTGCTTAAAAATTTAAGTTTTCCCGGTTTAATTACATATTTTTTCAAAGTTTTCCCATTACATATTTTTTTCGTTTCTAGTTTTTTCAGTGTTTTTAAATTTCCAGGTTTCAAATACTTTCCCAGTGCTTCAAATGTTTGTTTTTTAGTATTTTGGTGCGTCACTAAAAAATTTTAAGATATTTTAAAGGGTTTTAAAAGAGAGCCCTTCCCAAGTTTTTCCCTGGTGTTGTTTAATTAGCCACCCCCCCTTTGGGGGTTTTTTGGATTTTCTTATTTGGGGCTTAAAATTTAAAAGAAACCCAAATTGGAAATTAAAAAAATCTTTCCCAGAAACAGTCATCAAGTGCCCTTTAGCCAAAATAGTCCCATAAAAAATTGAAAATTCCCCAAAAACCAAACCTTTTAAATTTTCTGTAGCTCAAATTTCTTTCCAAAGAAATTTTTAGTGACTTTTTAAGGGCCTTTCTTGACTTTCCTGCAACCAGTGGGGGCCCTTTTCAAAGAACCGTTGCCCTTTAAAGGAGAAAACCAGGGGACTTTAAAAAACCCTTTTACATTTTTTAAGCAGAAACCCCAATTCCACATTCAGCCTTTCTTTTTCCTTAGCAAACCTTGTGTTTCTTAGCAGCAAGTGTTTTTCTTCAATCATTGATGTTCCAAGGCATTCTTAAATAATTGATATTTTTTCTTAGCAATAACAACCTGTAAACTTATTTAAATTTGCACGATTTGAAATGCAGTTATCACCTCTGTGATATCAGTATAAGATTTGGACTTAATATCTGCTTTTCATTCATAGTAAACAGTGTTAATTGTTACTTGTCATCAAGATCCTTTATAATGAGGAGAGCGATGTAAGGGTCATCATGACTCTCTTGCTCAGAAAATTTGATTTTATGTCTAATATTTTTATAAACAGATAATTTATCGGGTTAACATCTTCGATAAACATATAGATCATCAAACCCCGGATCTGAAATGATAAAGTTGTTATTAAATTCCGGTTTTAGATACTTGTTCGTCAAAGTTCTCCGGCTGTGAATATTCAGCAAACAATTGCCGAATTCAAAACTATCCCTCTTGATCTGAAAGAAGAAAGAAGGATACAGGAAGAAATAAAAAAGTGGAAGGACTATGAAGCCGATGTTGACCGACTGAAACAGGAAATGACAGACGTGAAAGAAAATGTAACTGATGTGAAGAAAGACCTTGAAGACGTAAAGGAAAATGTAACTTATGTACAGAAAGACCTGGAAGACGTAAAAGAAAATGATACTGCGGTGAAGAAAGACCTTGAAGACGTAAAAGAAAATGTAATTGGTATGAAGAAGGACCTTAAAGACGTAAAAGAAAATGATACTGCAGTGAAGAGAGACCTTGAAGACATAAAGGAAAGTGTAACTGAAGTGAAGAAAGACCTTGAAGACGTAAAAGAAAATGATACTGCAGTGAAGAGAGACCTTGAAGACATAAAGGAAAGTGTAACTGAAGTGAAGAAAGACCTTGAAGACGTAAAAGAAAATGATACTGTCGTGAAGAGAGACCTTGAAGACATAAAGGAAAATGTAACTGAAGTGAAGAAAGACCTTGATGAGATAAAAACACGGAAATGGGCAGGTTTGTTATTTTTTATCTGAAATATTTTATTGTTCCGGTCTGACAATTATCTTAAAATAATCTTGACAGGTTCGGCCAATTTTGCTAAAATTTGTATGATTTTGTAATCAATAAACTGAGCCGGTGTCGCGTAATTATCACACGCGTGGTATATTACCACGCGTGTGATTATTACGCAGGGTCGTAATTATCACACGGTTTGGGGTAGTGCCGTGATAATCACACGGACGGTATTAAATTTACATTAAATATTCTTGAATTGTATATCATTTTTTTCCTAAATGATTTCCGCGTCTAATGGTGTAAATTTTATTAAAAAGCTATGATTTTCCACCGCATAGGGGTATCTTAAAGTGTAAACTTAAGACAGAAAATGTTCTTTCCTAAATATCAGCGTGCAATCTTTCGATACAGACATTAATATAAATAATGCCTGATACAATTGAAAAATATGTTTTAGTTTAGGTTTCTGTGTTTCAAAATAGTTCAAAAAAAGTCTGTTTCATGGATTTCTCTCCGTTTTTTTATTATTTATATTAGTCCCCCTTTTTAGCTGAAATATGTTAAGTCTTATCTATTTGCGCTTTGTGTGTTTGCATGCAATTCAAGAAAATAGTAAAATCCAAAATTAAATGAAAAGAATAAATTAATTAAAAAAATAAATAAATAAATAAATAAATAAATAAATAAATAAATAAATAAACAAACAAACAAATAAATAAATAAATAAATAAATAAAAAAATAATAAATAAATAAATAAATAAATAAACAAACAAACAAACAAACAAACAAATAAATAAATAAATAAAAGGTAGACTCGAAATGGCAAAGATCTAGTTATAGTAATGGTGTGAAAAAGGGTTAAGTATACGGAAAGCAGAGTCCATGAAGGTTTGAATTCTTTTTTAATTGGCATGACATTTCCATAATATTGAACTTATATAAAAACCTCGTTCCGTTTTGATACACCAAAGAATGTATTTGCTGTCGATTGACTCATGAACCTGAAAAAAGTGTTGATCTGTATAACTTCCAGGTTATATTTGTTGATTATGAACTTTCCCGCTATAGTTTATATATTGTGTGATATTTATATATGGTTCTTAGCCTCGTTTATTATGTTTATTGCAAATGTATTATTACCTCATGTTGTCATGATCTGAGTGGAATAAAGAATAGAATAGCAAAGTAACTCAGAAATGTGTCAGGGATATGTTTGAGAAAAAATTGTCAATTATTTCAGAAATATCCATTACATAATTATATATCATTATAAAGTTTTTCAACAAATAAGACATCAACACTATTTCAGTAGTTTATGAAAAAAAGAAAAATTGCTTTCGTATTTCATATAATAAATATGAAATTTTCTCAATACAACAGTTTTCACGTGAAATGTAAAAAAGGCACAATTAAGGATTCGCGCTAATAACATAATATAATATGATATAAAGTAAGTTAAATTCAGTATATGTTAAAACTAGCTCTTATTATTCATCAGTGTACCTTAAGAATTTGATAACACATCTTCTAATCTTAAGGTAAAAGATAAATTGGTGCAGGTTGATGCTGGCTAAATAGTCCGAAATGAAGAGGAAACATGTAGCGTATATAATAAGGGTTTAGTTGTTTCAATGCTACTAAATGACGATAACCCCCTCTTAGTAACAAAAAGCTTTTCATTGGTGTTGGTGATGAATTTCGCTCTAGTGGTGGTGTGTACTTACCGTTGATGGGATCATATATACATAATCAGACATTCCCTCGGTAATACAATTTTTTTCCAAAATGGTTTTCCGCAATATAATTTCTTTTTCAAAATACCAGGCACTTTATGGGATTTCTTTTTTATGACCACAAAGACGACCAATTTCGTTAATGAATAATCATAGTTTTTTTTAAATTTTTTTTATTACAAAGAAAAATTCTTTCAATGACCATAAGTCTAGAGGTACTGGAACCACCATTTGAATGGGACCAATGATATTATGGTTGTCCCATGGCAGCTCCAAATAGTTATGATGACCCTCTTTAGAATTTAAAATAATCTTGTGTTAGGTTATTTGGAGAAATATTTCCACCGTGTGATTATTACGTACAGGTTTAAATTCCAGCGTGTGAGTATTACGCGGATCGGCGTAATAATCAACCCCAGATAGGGGTTGGTGCCGTTAGAATCACACTACTGTCTTAGATTTACTCCAAAATGTTAAAATCATTACCACCTTTTATTTTAAAATTGAATTTCCGCATTAATGTATAATTTTTGTAGAATTAATTAATTTTGTAAACACACGGGATGTTTTTTAAAAAAAAGCATGTATTGCAGCGATTTTTAAAATAAATTATGAAACCTTCTATGAATAATTATAATTAATGTTTTGAAAATATTTTTTTTTTAAATTTTAGTTCTAAAATTTTAGAATGTGTTATATTTTATTCGTGTTTTCACTTAGCTGGTAAAAATATTGACAATAGCTATGTGTGTTGTTTAATTGTTGGGCCAGGGATGTAAAATAGACAATCTTGATTGTCTTTTTTTAAATTAATAATAACTTATCTTAACCCAAATCCAAAGCGTTTAAACTTTTTAAGTTTATTACCCATTAAATAAATGGTTGTATCAATAAAAGTTGCAATCAATAGAGGCCTATTAATAAATGCCAGAATGGTATAATTTGTATTAGAAATTAAAGAATAGTCTTTTCACGTGTTCGATTATATCCCACCGAAGTACAACGGTCATGCGTAGACGAAAATTTATATTTTAATTATTTTTCAAACATTTTTGAATTTATGTAAAGTTAATCTTTTTTTTCCTAAATCAATTTTGGTTGTTACATGTGTCTTACTGAAGGGTTTATGAAAATTTTTATAATTTTTGATGTTAAACAAACTTGATCTCTGAAAAAAATGTAATAAACCGCTTTGCGACCAGTAAAGCCGTGAATAAGCCAGTGAATAAATGCAGCATGGTTTTTATATTCTAAACCAAAACATAATTAGACATTAAAATTAATTTATTTTTTACTAAATGAATTGTGTCAGTCAAGTAATTGTCCTTTTCTCTTTTACATATATGTTTGTTATCCACACCCAGGAGCAATCTTGAAAAAAAGTTATTGCAGGGAATTGGGGAAAAAAAGCGGAGATTAATAATTTTTTGTTTTTTTTCTTACAATAAATATATTGAATCGTGTATTATTATATATATTTTGAGATACGATTTTTTTTTTCAAAACGGCTTATATTAAGTTTTTTTGTATTATGATTAACATGTTGCTGGGAATTGAAAATATGGCATTTTATCGGATTTTAAAGGCGTTTTAGAGCTCCAAAACCCCAAGTTGTCTGTTGGTTAAATATGCATAATAGTATTGGTGTAAATTCTCTTTTAAAATCGCTAGGGTTTTGAAAGTTAACCCTTATGCACTTAAAACCGACACAATCTGTTTGAAGTGTTCGCCACCATTCCTTTATATCAGTTTTTTGACAAATATAGGTATTGAAATTTATTGTAAACAAGCACAATTATTTATCGCCTAAATCTTTAATACCACCTGATTAAATCTCTTATTAGCATTTAAATAGCCGTCGCCGTCTGTGGGGTAAGTAGATAGGCAAACTTTTTTTTTTTTAGTTTTTTTTTTCAACCATCAGTGAATTCCATTTGAGAACATTGAATACCACACAATTGGCACCAAAACCAGGGTTTTAAGTATAAGACAAAACAAGTTGGTGATTTAGGTGAATAAATGGGGCAACCCGGAAAGAATATATGTACAAATGGCCAAAATTGGTTTAATTTTAGAATAATTGTTATTAACAAAGTAACATTCCCTTTTAAACCTCATTTAAATAATTGCTAAAGGAGGGTTTTTTTTATTTAGACTTTTATCCCCAAAAATATATAAATTATAAAAAATTTAATATTTTAGGTTTGGGAAGTATAAATAATACGAAAGGGGGTTTAAATGAAAAGGTTTTTATATTTTTTAAGGTGGGGGTTCAACTGACTTTTTCAAGAAACTTTAAAAATTTACTTTTTTTGAATTTTAAACTTTTTTAAATTTTTAAAAAAAGGGTTCGGTTCTAAACCAGGGGGATTATTGTGGGGCCGGCGTAAAAAGGGGGCAGGGGTTAGGGGGTTAGATCCCTTTATAATCAACACACGATTTTAGGGGCAGGGTTAGGGGAAAAGTCCCGTGATAATCACAGACATAAAATTTTAAAATTTAAAATAAATTTTTTCCAAATTTGATAAAGGGAGGGATTTTTTTATTCAAAAAACCAGTTCGGCGTTTAAAAAAATGTTATTTTTTTTAAAAATTCACTATTAGTTTTGTTGAACCACGCTTTCGTTTTGATAATCGACGTAAGGTCTTAAAACACTCCAAATAACACAAATAATTTTTAAATTACAAGTCTAACCTTTTATTCCAAAAATAAACCGCATCCAAAATGGTAAACTTTTTTTGAGAATCTATGTTCCCAAAAACGCTGGGGAAGTAAATTAAAAAAAACGACTTCAAGGCTTGGAATTTTCATAGATTATGAGTCGTCAATTAATATGAAATACATATTATTGTTTTTATTTTTCTGGTATATAGTTTTAAATTTAAAAAAACTCTTAAAAAAGCCACCAGACGTTAAAAAAGTTTGTTTTAGTGCAGTTTGATAGGTGGATCAAGATTATATATTCTAAATCAAAGCACTGCAAGCACTGAGGTTTTTAACATTTGCTTGACATTAATTTACGGCATCCAGTCTTGCATAAGGGATTTTTTTCAGAAAAAATCATCATAAAATTACTGTTTCAAGGAAACAATTAGTATTTTTATTAAATAACAAGAAATGAGTAACAGAAAGCTACCGCGCCCCCGCTCGGGGAAGTTTTATATGAAGCTTAAAATTATGGGTTTCAAAAATTAAGGTTTTGGATCTTAGGAGACTTTCAGTCCAAAAATTTTAATGATAGCTAAATCTGCAAATGCAACAATAAAATTTATTAAAGAAATGTAAAAATGAATGTTTAAGCTTTGACCTCTAAGTGTAACCTTTGATTCTTGGAGGTATGGGTGCAGGTGTTGTGAGGCTATAATTATTGTAACCATTTGTACCAAGTATTTTAAAAATTTCCCTTGAACTATGAAGAAGTTATAGATGGGATACAAAAATTACCCTCTAAAGACTATGTTAATCTTTGACCCTCCAAGTTGACCGGGAGGTAGGAATCCTGTTTTGGGCCTGACAAAATTTTCCCCAAAATTTTTGTTTTTATTTGTGCAAAGTATTTTTAAAAAACCCAAAGAAACTATAAAAAAGTTAGGACGGACAATAAAATATTTCCCCATAAACCCCTATGTAAAAAGTAAAAAATAGGGAACTTGGGGTTATGCAGAAAATGTATTTTTAATTTGGGTATTGGCCAAGTTTTTTTCAAAAAACCCTTTTAAACTATTTTAAAAAGTTAAAGGCGGGACACAAAAAATTTTTCCATTTTAACGACTGTTACCCCTTTTACCTAAATGTGCCCCGGGGCCTTGGGGAGTGGGGGCAGGGGTTGTACTTTACATATCCCTCTTATTTTTGTGGCCTATTAAAGTACCAAGTTATTCAAAATCCCTGAACTTTGAAGAGTTCTAGATTGGACCCAAAATTACCCCTTTAACAGACCTATGTTTAACTTTTTTCCTCCGAAATGTGAGACTTTGGACCTTGGAAGTAGGGATGCAAGGTACTGGCGCATGACACTTCGTCTTGTTAGTGACTATTTGTGCCAAGTATTTTTTTAAAATCCCTTTGAATATAACAAAAGTTATGGACCGGACACAAAAAAAATTTACCTTTTAACGAGACTATGTTAATCTTATGGACCTCCAAGTGTACCTTGACCCTTGAAGTAGGTGACCCACTTGTTTGCCATGACAATTGTTCTCAAATTATTGTAAAGAATTATTTGGCAAGTATTTACAAAATCCCTCCCAAAGAGAAGAAGTTATAAATAGCCCATAACATATACCCCTCAAAAGACAATGTTTCCGTTGAAT